CAATCTTGGTTAAATCGGGTAGGTTTGTGTATACCAGAGTGATTTTTTTCTTCGATTTTACATATAAAATTATGCACAAAGATCATTAATTTTATATATGAGTGACACTTGACCCCCTGTAAATCCACAATGTCCTGCAACTGATATGGATTTTTAAAAAGTATCCACTAAATTGAATATATATGAAAATCCGTTAAATCTGTTAAATTGAGATAAAATAATTATAGAAAAATTTGGTTTTGAAAATTTATCCATTAAACCCCTAAATCCGCTAAATCGAAGTCCGTTAAATCGAGACCCACTGTGTATATCATTTTTTTTAGTAATAATTTTTTTTTACAGATGATATCCTTAACAATACTTTGTATTTCATAAAAACCAATTTTCCTTGAAAAAAAAAAAATTTTTTTTATTTTTTCTACCAAATTGTCCCACTATATACAGTAGGACAAAAATACTATAGAAATAGTCAAATAACTGATCTATAAACGTAAATATATATATATACATACATACATATTTATAAAAATGAACCAAATTCAGTCTAAGTATTTTAAACATAACTGACAACTTCTAGCTTCTTAATCTAATAGTTTTATTTTTTATTTTTAAATTAGAAGCAAATTATAAATGCAATCTGTGTCAACATTATGAAATTATATCTGGTTTTTGGAGCGTTACTATTACAAAAAATAGAAGAGGATGAAGAGGATGGATGAAATTTATTCTAGTTTATCATGAAGCTGTATTTGTTCAAATATTTAACAAGCGTTGATAGGTGATATATATGTGTTTTTAAAGAAATAGCAAAGAAAATTTTAAATGAATGTTTGGGGTCAGAAGAATGAGCCATTAAATATTATTTATGAGAATAATAAAACTATTTTCTTACATATTGTATATGTACATGATCAGAAGGTAGAGGAGATGTAGAAGGAAATAAAAATTGTAGATGATAGAGGAAATGAGACAATATGCAATGCAATAAGTTGAACGTTATGTTTAAATAGATTTAGGTAACAATAATAATTTATAATATTCTTCTAATAAAAATTTTACATAATTTTTCATCAAATTATACTAATTATACTTGATGATTATTACTATAGGATAAAATACATAATTCTTGCTGATTACAATTAGGGTCTTCCTTTATTATTATAATAAGAACTAACAAACTATGCTTCGCATCACAAACTATATGTCTTGTGTCATGAATTATGTTTTGAATCACAAATTAATATTATGCCCCACGTCATGAATTATTGCTTCAGAAGACCCTAGATTTCATATGATTATTACTTGGGGTGTTGATTAAATGCCAAGGTTTTCTTTATTTACCATTCAATAAAAATTTATTAATTATAATTTGTTGTGCTGATTATAATAAAAAAACATATGTTAAATTAAAAATAGCAAACATACAGTATAATTTACATAATTGTTCATTTTCTTTAATAGTTATCCTAGTGAGTTTAGCTATTGCAGAAGGAATGTTATTGTTAACCGTTTGGGTCATGTGAGTTTATAGTGTTGTGACACTAAAAATAGTGTGTCATTAATTTGAGATGATCAACAAGGGGAAATTTAAAAAATAAAAAAAATAAACCAGCAGTAATGAATACTTTTGACCATCAAAATCACCAAACCAATTTGGGCTGCATGTATATTCAAAGGCGTCCCTTGGCAAGATAGTAATTAATTATTTAATTGAGTTAGTTAGAATGAAAGGTTTAGTTTTGGAAGCAGGTGGATTATTCTACTGGAAAGAGGTTATTTTAAGAGATACTTATGTTTTATATTTTACTATTAAGATATTATTGCTGTTATGTTACTTCATTATTAAATAACTCGTAGCATAGATAAAAATCCGATCATTGGTCAAGTGAAATTAACCAATGAAAATCATGCACGCAACATTTCAATTTTTTATTAAATTTATTTTGAAATAATAATTCGTTTATTTTTATTACTTGTCTAAATTCAAAGGAAATTTCTTCTAAAAATTTTCTTTCTTTCGTCAGGACTGATTAGATTGACAAGGGGTTGATTTCATAGCTTATTCTGACCAAATCCAATTATATTTATATACTTAACAACATATAATATAGAGTTTATATAATATATATCTTGATTACCACATACTATAAAAGGACCAAAATTTTTTTGGCTTTAATGTTGGTTTCCAAAACTAGAGAGTTTCGCAACTGTGCGAAAGTCAAAAGGTTTCGCCATAAGTCGAAACTAGTT